CTCGCAGGCCCACATTCATCCTTATCAATAGGCGCTGAAACCATGGGTGCATCGTTCTCTTCCTCATTGACTGGGCTAGCAGGTCGAGGTTCCTCTATCTTGGATGCTGAGAGCACAGGTGCATCGTGTGTCTCTTCCTGGAATTCCGTGGTAGGCTCGGGTTCATCGTTATGGACAGGCGCTGAACGTTCGGGTGCATAGTTTATTTCCTCTTTCACTGGGCTATCAGGTTGGGGTTCCTCATCAATGGGTGACGACGGCTCTGGGGTATTAGTATTCTCCTTGTGCAGTGGGCACAGGGGCTCAGGTTCTGGCTTTCCCACAATTTCCGGAAGCTCTGGTGCATGCGTGATAGCCTCGTGGACTGGACTCGCAGGTTCGGGGGTCTTTTCTTCCATGTATGTCAATGGCTCTAAAGCATGTGTCGTCTCCGTGTGCAATGGCATGTCTTCGGCTTCATCTACATCCACATGTGCTGGCATATCCGGTGCATCACTTTCCTCCTCCGTCTCCGAGTACATCGATTCTGGTCTCTGTGCATCCAAAGGTGTTGGCGGAGACTCTGGTACATGATTGCTTTCATCAAAGAGTGAGTTCGTACCTTCCGGTGTAGTACCCTGGGGCAGGCGTCTCTTTGGCCCTCTAGCTCGACCCTTGGTCAAATGAGTGAGTGCGCCAGCTTGAGAACCTTCCACTCCTGAGCTGCTGCTTTCCCCAGCACTGCCGAAAGAAGGACCTTTCATGGACCCGTTGATCGGTGCGGGCGGGCCACGGGACAAAAGTCCCGCTAAGGCAGGGTTTAATCGGCCTGCGAGTTTACTTTTAGCAGCAGGACCCTCGGTCTCAGCAGGTGCACTTGTAGCCTGCATCAAATCCCCCGGTGGCAGAGAACGCACCGGATTGATGCCCTCCTCCTTTACCTCTTCAGCGTTCACCTCTGCCCCGTCTGTCTTCTCATGTTCGCATTCTCTCTCTTGTTCCGGCAGTTTTGGCTGAGCGGCCTCCTCGGCAGTATCATCAACGCCCGGCTTGGGTGGTTCTGGAGCGATTGGCGAGCCTTGGAACTTTTCGAGGGGCTCAGCGCCGGCAGGGGACAGTGGCGATGCAACCTGGAAGCCATGCGTGCTTTTTGGTGTGCCCGGCTCTCTAGGCGAGAGCGGCGAAAGCGGCGACGAAGAATCGGCTGCTGAAAGATTGCTTTTGATACTGCTGGACTTGGTCAAATTGTTCCGCATTGCAATTGCTTCAGGTACAAATTTGCCAGGAGCATCCTTCTCCCCCGCAGTATTACGTCTCAGCGAACCCCCACTGGCTTTGATTGCTTCTTTCTGCTTCAGGATGCTGTCTTTCAATTCATCCACTTTCTGCGACTTCTTTGGTCCGCCCGAAGAGTTCAGAGCTGCCTTGCCTTTAAGAATATTCTCTTTCAATTCGTCCGGCGGCACGTGTTTTGAGGACTCTGCTTTCTTCAGCCTTCCAAAGATATTCTTGAATTCCGGTTCCTCCCTGGGTGACTCATCCTTAACCACTTCCCTGCGTCGAAGGTTGGCTCTGAAGTCTATCACAGGAGACAGGGGCTTGGGCCGATTCAACAGCGGATCACGAGGGGATGCCAGGGGCGCATCGATAGTGGTCTTGGTTATCGGGCTCAGGTTAGACGGCGTACGCTTGTGTTTAGTAGCTCCATCTTCCGTTTTCTCGGGCTCCGCCTCTGTTTTGGTAGGCGACTCCTCTTTCGAAGGAGAGGCCTCTTCGGTCTTCTCTGCAGGTGGTAAAGTGCTATCCTGAGTATCTGCACTTTGTAAGGAGGTTTCGAGTTCTGCTTCCTTTGTCTTCCCAGCATCTTGATTGGAAAATATGTCGGGGATGCCGGTGATACTGGAGGTCTTCGAGTGACCACCAGGAGCAGTAGTCCGCATAAGGCCCACGGGTGTGACCTCTTTGAAGCTTGCGGTTCGACCCAAGTCAACGCTACCTCTTGATTGCCGATCTTTGACCCAAGAAGCCTGTTGAGAGGGCTGTCGCTTATGCCTAGGTGATTCATCGCGGTTCAAAGCACTCTCGAGCCAGGAAGCTTTGGTCGGGCTCCATCTCTTGGGATCCATCGTTCTCGAAACTGACGGGCTTGATGGGGGTAACGAGCCGGAATCCGTGCTTTTCTCAACGGTGCTGGTAGACCGCGTATGCAGACTCAGAGAGGGTCTGCGGTTCTCTTCATCTAGCCGCGCACCACTGCTGCCCGGAACGGGAGGTGTAGCCGGTCGTTCGCCATCTTTGACCGGATGAACGACAGTCGCTTCGCTATGGCTAGACCCGGGTCTGTGGCTAGAACCAGGCCTATGGCTGGAACCGGGTCGATGGCTAGAGGTCGGCCGCGAGGGCGAAAGACTTGCGCCATCCCTGCTCATTCTATATGAAGGCGCAGTGGAGAAAACATCACTGCCGGAAGGAGCAGCGAAGCTGTTGCGGTTGCTAGAAATTGAATTACCCCGACTAAGCCCCGACGGCAGCTGAGCGCTCCAGCGTTTAGACACGCTATCTGATCGCTTCATCATGGCACTTTGCACGAATCCACCGAGCCCCTTGGTAGGAGACGTAGAACGCTCGGGAGACAAACGCCTAGGCGAAGGGGGTGATGTTATCTGGTCATCTGCGACGTCCTCCGTCTTTCGCGGCTCGAGTTTTTGTGCACTCGTCAGAGGCAAAGGAGAGCCAAGCCCAGTGGCCGTCGACACAGAAGATATGCTCGAATACCGATTACCCAAACTACTTTCTGCAAACGTCGAGCTTGCCCTTGATGGAGACCGCGATCGCTCTTCCACGAGCTCGTTATTTTCTGCTTCCTTCGCCGACTCTGTGGTGTGCTCTTGGTTCGCCTCCGACTCTTTGACGCCAGTATCAGGGTGCAGAGGGTGCAGAGGGTGCAGTGAGTCTTCCTCTACCTGCTTTGCGCGGGTCGGAGACGGGCTCCCTCCCTCTGTGTGGCGGGCCCACGGTACGTCCTTGAACGAAGGAGAAGACGCGAATGGGCTCCTAGATACCCCATGATCATCATTAGACGTTGTGGACATGGCTCTAAAACGGCTCTCACGCGAGGGCGACGCGGAGAAGAAAGCCCTGCTGCTATCCCGAGACGTGGGTCTTTGTTGCCAGGAGAGAGTGCCGGCTCTGCTCCGGAAAGGTGAGATAGGTCTGGAAGCCGTCTCTCCATCGTTTGCCGTCAGAGTAGACCCCCTCCGGCCATTGTCGGTGGATATCGATGCGTCATCTCGAACCGAATCAGCCCCGTTGCCAGTGTCATGCCCCGGAGTGTGAGGGGTAGGCTCGAGGTGTTCCGGGGGGTCAATCGCTCGCTGGCTGAAAGAAGACATGCTCAACCGAGCGGGATCTAATATAGGTGAATCTTTCGTGGGGGAAATCGACCGTGCCCGCTCTGTATTGCATCCCAAAAAACGGGACACAGTCAGCATTCCTGAAGATGACAGATTTGGAAATGGACCAGCCAGCCGCCAGCCAACCGTGAGTCATGGCGACTGGGAATTTGCTTTGAAAGGGGGGGCGCCGGGAAAAAAAAAGCAAGGGAAATCAAATACCAGCTCTCCGAGCCTGTCTTTCCTTCCGACCTTGCAGAATTTCCTCCTCCAACTTCTTTGTGCGTTCCTCGTCCTCTTTATCGCGCTTCTCTCCTAATTCGCGGATGCGCAAAAGGAAGTCGTTGACTTCCTCAGTGCCATCCGCGTCGGTTGTGGACGACATGGCCAGCTTGGCACTTGTTCAATGAGCCCAAAAATTGGGTTAAAAAAAAAAAAAAAAAAAAAAAAAAAGAGGGAACAGAACAGAAATGGCAAGTCAGAAAAAGAAAAGGTGCCCTTTCAATCCGAATAAACACCGACAAAAAAAAAAGCCCCCAGGAACGGTGGGGTGTTGACAAGAGGCACCAGACAGAAGAGGGGAGGGGGGGAAGAGAGGGGGAGGATGATTTGGTTGTTTGTGAACCAGAGGTGTTGGAGTAATCAGGAAGAGTGGAGGGAGTGTCACGGTTAGCGGTGGTGGTGGTGGTGGTGGTGGTGGTGATTGAGCGACACTCTGGCTCTTGCCCGCTTGAGGGACTTTCTGTGACTGATTCGTGCCGGATCTGAGCCTTAGGAAGGGATACTCGTGTGCCTCCAGCTCATTGTTGTTGTTGTTGTTGTTGCTGTTGTTGTCGTTGTCGTTGTCTGGTTTACTCCACCTTTCACCCTGGGCGATCCAGTGTGAAGGAAGGAATGGCAGCGAGAGCCGGGCAGCGTCTTTTTCGTTTCTAGTGGTGGATCCGTATCGACGGCCAGCTGAGCACCGTGAAGGTAAGAATAGTAATGGTCCTTCATCGTCAAATAAAACCCGGCGAAGGCACGCACATCAGCTGCCGCCCCACAGCCGGAAGCCCAGAGGAAATTAGGATGAGGCGCCCGACCGGATTGACACTTGCGCATCTCTCTCGCTCTGCGGCTGTGAGCTGATCCCCTTAACTTTCTTCCTCCCGGGCACCACATAGGCGAGATCAAAGCCCGTCCTGATGGGGTTTATCGTGTCGCAAATCCCAGACAAAGAGAGATGTCCGCTCGGATTCCCCAAAAGCTTCATCATCAATTGACGAGGGGATGTTTGGAAGTTTCTCTACACGGAGAACTGTTTACTTTTCCGGGTCCGGCTTTTGCGGTGGAGCAAATCTCAACTTTCTCTGCCGCCCCGCGATCGGATACGCAATCAATTTTTCCTGGCTGACCGGCCTGCTTTCCAGTTTGTTCCCTTCTACTCGGGCAGCATTACTATCCTTAGGAACCTCGGTTGGGTCAAACTCGGCACACAAAGCTTGGTAACTTGGTGTGGAATCCACGGATGGATGGCCTTGAAGGGGAAGAAGGGGGAATGAAGGTGGATATGCGAAGATAAGCGGGAGCTTCTTAGTTCCCATTAACCACCCAGCAGGATTGGGTCTGACGACATTAATTCCCCCTTCCACCCGGCGCAGGACTAGTTTCGTGAGACACATTACTGGCGGCAATCCTTGCTGAAACCTCGTGGTTGACGTAAATTACGAGGCGAGGCGCTCCCCTAGTGGGAACTGGGAACACCGTTGCCTTTACCATGTTCGACAAGGGCCATCGTAGTGTAGTTCGTGGACCCTGAAGGCGATTTGTCTGATCGCCGTTCCGATACCCGACCAGGCACTAACAGTTGAGACAGGGGCTCTGCTAGTGGTGCTTGGTAGGTAGTTAACGGGCAGAATGAGTGCAAGCCAGCATAGTACTAGAACGTTGTCTCCCTTGTAAACTATCTTCATAGGTTAGGAGTTATTCAGGGTACACCAAGTTCAATCATGGGTATAGATGCATCAATAGTAGTGTGATAATTAACACGCTTAATAATGAACCCATCGCTGAATAGTTACTACTAGTACTACTAGTATGGTCAAACTTCCGTGAAGAATATATAATGACTACTAGTGCTTCAGTAGAGGAGGCAAAGTCTACTACTATCACCAGCACCTTCGCCAACGAATCATCAGTTTTCATATCAATTAAATGCCAGAAAACATGACTCCTGCCATTATTGTAAGACCATAAGTACGAAAATAAATCGAGAAGGGAAACAGATAGCATATCGCGGTCATCAAAGGGTGCCAAGTAAAGCCATAGACTTTCACATCAGTTAGTACAGGAAAAGTCTATCTTTGGCGTCTTGGACAACCCATTCTAGCCCTTCATGCAGATTCTTCCCTGTCATCGCACTGCAGGGTAATATCGTCCATTTATGTGTTTTGATAGAATCCAAGCCAAGCCGCTGTGGACAAGAACATCAGTCAATAATCGCTGGAAGACACGACATCAAGAGCCCAAAGCGAGAGAAGAAAAAAGAGCGAAGAGCATAAACTTACTTGTCGAACCTCACTCTCATCCATACATCCCTCAACTTCGCTCTTATTCAAGAAAATCAAGAGACTTGCTCCCATCAAACGCTGCGTGACGGTTAGCCCGGGACTGGCAAAACTCTTCTTGGGCGGGCGCAGCGGTGCCGGCGGGGATGGCAACGAACCTCTTCCAAAAGGAGCCCGGCGAGCTCATCTCTACAATCATCCACTCTAAGACGGTCGGTCGCATCAACAACCCAAATTAATGTATCGGTCTTCTCAAAGTAATTTTTCCAATAAGATCGGAGGGTCTTTTGGCCTCCAACGTCCCCTAATGACAGGTGATTAGTGGAGGCTGGGCGGTATCAGTGGTCGACATCCTTACATATGTTGAGTCTATATCTGCGTAGAAGTCAGCGAGTAACTCTGGTAGATAATCGAATGATTTAGATAGTCATACCCTTGAAAATCTATCGTCTTGATGATAAAACCCAATGTCGGACTGACAGTGGTGACATCTTCATTCATAATCTGCTTGACGATGGTGGTCTTCCCGGCATTGTCCAGACCTCTGTGGCCATGGCTGTTAGTGAAGGTATTCGTTAGCTGTAAGTATCATTGGGTGAGACTCACAGCATCAGGATTCGCATCTCCTTATCCTTCAGCCGGGCTTTTCTCAAAATGGACAACATCTTCACTGGACTTTCAGTGATGTCGCAGTTTGTAGTTGGGGTAATTGAAGGGGAAAGAAAGATTGGACCAACGACAAGCTCGATATAGATCCCGCTCACGGTCGAATATACTACTACTACTACACCTCCTTCACATCACAATGAGACATCATAGGCCATGTGTCCCATGCATAACCAATAACAACCCTAATGTAGTCCTACAATCTTGTGTATTAGCATTTCCAGTCCTAGCTTTTCACTTTCTCACTTTCACAACAAGAACAAGAAATGTGAGCAGAGTCATTGCAGATATCAAATATTTGGAATAGCAATGCATTTCCTTCACGTAGACATAACAGGCAACCACTTAATCCCAGCTGTACCAAGATTCACCATGTGCGCATAACGTGACATTAGGGAGGAATCGAAATTCGTTAAATAGTGCGCACATCGCATACGCCTCAGTATGTCTCTGTCCACAGGAGGGCCGAGTCTCCTCATCCTCATCCGTGTTGTCACTTAACGACAGAGGCAATCTGAAAGGTTAGAAGACAGCATCTTCTGTTTTGATTAGATAGGGCCCTGTGATTCAGTCTGTCCAGAGGCCCCTAGCAGCAATAAGTGCAATCAATGTCAAGTAGGATCCTCCTCGCCTAACATGAACAACCTTGGGAGAGGTGATATGAGTGATACTAACCTACCTCACTGTTAGAGATGTCACAGAAGAACAACTATGAATATGACAGCCCAGATTTATGGGCGCGAATGAAATTGACACGTGATAGTGTATCAAGCGCCTCGATTTCCAATAAATACCGGTCTCCTGGATACCGGCCTTCGCAACGACGATGTGCCGAGAATAACAGTACCACTTCGCCTCTGCACAATCCGGTGAGTCCGAGTCAGGCTGATAAGATGCAAGCAGCTGTCATCAGATCGACAAATAGCACTGCAGTCACAGTCACTCGTAAAGCACACAAGGCGATCGCCACGGCGATTCCCAAGTGTTTTGAAGCACCTGAGCCGGTTGTGGCCACTAGCCGATCGCCTTTACATGAAAACAAACCCCCTTCATCACCCAAACTCTCTTCCAAAATAACTGTCAAGTTACCTGAGCCAGTGAGCAGATTGTGTGACAGTTCTCACATATCGCCATCCACATCCATACCTTCCCCCTACATCCCAACAAACATAAGACCATACCAATATCAGAATCCCGACCAGCGCATCCTCCCTAGAAACAAAGGAGGTCAAGGGACTGAGCAGAAGAATTGGAGAAACACCGCACGTCCTTCTCACCCTCCTCTCATCTCACACGCCGCAAAAGCACCTCAGAGGTCAAGTGAGTTAACATTCACTCGAAATACTTCGTCTGGCTCGCCACATCAGCTTGCTCTGCCTGGTAAGCGATGAATGCCGCTTCCTCCGTCTTGACCATGAGATGTGCTAACTGACACCTGAGAAGCTAATAAGGGAAAAATGTCGTCCAGTGGTGACTCGGATTATGTCGTTCTGCGTCATCCTAGAGCCGAAACATTGCAGCCTCAAAATCAGGATGCTTCAGGACAGACTGGAATAGAGGCCGGTGGCGGTACCCCTCTTGGGGGCAGCATTCACCAGCCAGCGCGGGAACCTTCCGAGGAGAAGCAGCCTACTACCCGTGCTGAGCTGCGAGCAGAGATCAAAAGATTACAAAAGGAGGAACTTGCGAAGATTTATCAAAATCTATACAAGGAGGAGGTCGAAACGGCTGATGCTGAAGTAGTAGCCAAATGCCGGGACGGCCCAGGCGTGGACCCAAAGTCGGAGGTCTATAAGGAAATCGAGGGATATCGACGTGTGCGTCCAATGGAAGAAGTCGACTTGAACGTCGAGGCTCTCTCTTTAGTCAATGATCTGGATGACAAACCAGAGGATGACCGCCTCGATAACCTCGAGCAGATTCGTAACGGCTTCAGCGACGGCGATCGTCTAGCTCCACTGTGGGATGCATACGAAAGGCAGTCTTTCATTTACCCTAACGTCATTAACGACCAAGTGACACTATCTCCTAAGCCGAATGAGGCGCAGACCACCCTGCAAGCCAAATTTCAGAGACCCGAAGCTCATCCGTATGCCTCGCGAGGCAAACCCCCTACTTTCCCACCCAGTGCATATCAGAAATGGCGAAAGTACGACCACTTGTGTGATTGGTGGTGGGCCCCTCCTATGCTTCCGTTTTACGATTTATGGCTTCAGAAATTCCGTTCTTGGCTCGACGAGACAATTCAGGATGCCTATTACGCAGACATCTACCACAAGGGCTATTTTGATGGCACCGCCCATCCAGATGGTGTTAGAACCTTTATCGTCCCGAATCTACCAAAGGCTACCACTATCCTCAATCCCAACGATGAGCTAGCTCATAGACACAGACACGAGACGGCAGCAGGTCTCAGCTACAACTACGTCATGCACAAAAAAGCCGAAGCAGAGCTAGAGGAGCAGAGATTAGCTTTGTCGCGTCGCATGCAACTTGAATGCATGGCCACCTTGCCGCCAAATCCCAACACGCCAAGGGCGAACATTTATCTCAGACCGGCACATGTAGGAGACGCCAATCAACTCCTCCCCATTTACAACTGGTACGCCCAAAACTCCTTCGTGAGCGTTGACATCGGAAAGTTGGAGCCAGGGGACATCCGGCAGCGCATCCAAGCCGCCAAAGACGCCCGCCTTCCGTTTATCGTTGCCGTGGAGCGCGGTTCGGGAAATCAGAGAGAGAATATCTTCGGCTACGCTACTGCTAAAGACTACACCGGTTCAGAAACCAGTGGTAGATACACCGCTGAGTTGGAATTATTCGTCATCCCAGAGCAACAGCGCAAAGGGATCGGAAATTGTCTTATGGACAAGCTCTTGCAGGTATGTGATGGAAATCACAGAACCAAGGGCGGTTATGATTTCTACAACCATGGTCTCGTTGGGTACAGCCTGGGCGGACGTCGTGAGTTCGCTCGGCTAATTTTCACATTTACATACATTCCCGAGGAACGCCAGTCGAAGAGTTGGGTCAGGGATTGGCTGGCCAAGAACAACTTCGAATTGCAAGGACGCTTGTGCGGAGTCCGCGCGAAGAACGAAAGACTGTAAGAGTTTATCCTGCTTCACGAGGATGATGATGATATTAAACTTCCATATTGACTGACAACGATTCTAGTCTTGACGTTGCGTACTTTGTCAAGAATAATATCTTCGCTCTTCCGTACCGATAGTCTGGTCCGGTCCCGTTCCTTACTTTATTCTCTTATGTGATTCTTTTCCTTTGTGACATTCTCAACACAACAAGGATCCCTGCAGGGCCTTGATAATAATCAACCTTATGACCGGCTTATGCCAGCGAACCTATGTGTTCGAACATGAATAAAACAACAAAAGCACAAACGCATATGCAACAACACCAAAAAAAAAAAAAAAGGTGAAAAGTGGAAAAAGAAGGAAAGCCGACGCACCATAAGCGGCGCCGGACGTCAGATTACAGTGTATCAATTATCTACGAGCATGCAGATAGGAGCTTTCTTACTTAGTGACTTAATGAAATTGAAATTGAAATCGAAATCTTGCTACTTATAAGATGCACCCAATGCATACCTAATTAGTAGACCTATCTAGCAGTAGATAGAAATCTAAGGGAGTGGATCCCATATCGATAAACGATGCACCAATCACCACCTCCCCGACGCCAGTAAGCACAATATTCTGCCATCGCAAACGGCCTCCACCGCCTTCGAAATTTGAACTTTTTTCTCCATCTTTATCCCGATACCAACATACATAACATAACCCATTGAATTGGAACATAAGGAGGAGTGCTTTCTTTCTCCTCTTTTTTTTATCTTTTTGATTTTGTTTTTCTCTCTCGAAACTTTGTCTTCGGTGACATTCACGGAATAATCAAGTCTACAGAAAAACAAGGGAAGAAATCTCTCATTCCCTCCCACACGCCAACCATGGCCGGAACGAAAAAGCGCGCGAACGCCGACGACGACTTCGTGCTCACATTGTCGGATGACGAGAATGACACGTTAAATCAGTTTGAAGAGGAGGGCGAGGGCGACGATGGTGCGCTAGCCTCCGGGTCGAAAACGAAGAAGCGCAAGAGAGATGATGCTGCCGCGGCGCAGCAGGAGAAGGGGAAGAATAAGAAGATGAAGAAGCAGGAACAACAGCAGCAGCAAAAACAGCAGAAGAAGCAAGGGAAGAAGGCGAAGAATGTGCCTGTTGAGGAAGAGCAGGAGGATGAAGAGGAAGAAGAGGAGGAAGAAGAGGATCTGGGTCAAGATGACGGCGCGCTTAATTCGGATTTCGAGTTCGATGTTGGCGGTGCTGCGACTGAGGTTAGGGATTTCGATGGATGGGAGATTAATGGTAATGAGGATGGTAAGGGTGGGGATAAGAAGGCTGTGGATATTGATGATATTATCTCGAGGAGGCAGGCCAAGAAGGAGGCTGAGTTGATTCGCAAGCAGAAGAAGAAGCAGAAGGAGGCGGAGGAGTTTAGTGAGTTGGAGGAGGATGATGATGAAGAGGATGGAGGTATGGAGGTCGACTTTGAGGATGATGAGCTGCTTGCGGAGGATGGGTTCGGTATGGGTGTTGATGGTGAGGAGGAGGAGAGCGACAAGTCCGATGCGGAGGATGAGGAGAAGGAAGAAGGGTCTGATGAGGAGGCCGAGGGCAGTGATGACGACGAGGAGATGGATGAGGATGATGATGATGCTGCTTCGGATAACGACTCGGTTGCTACTCCTGTTCAACACCCTGATGATGTTGCCTCTGACCGGGACTCGGACGACGAGAGTCAGGTCGACGCCGAGGAGGAGGAGAAGCGCAAGGCTTTCTTCGCTCCTGAGGAGGAGAAGACTTCGGAGTCTGCTATGGCAGATGCGAAGCGGTCATTCCAGGAATTCAATCTCTCTCGTCCCATTCTTCGTGGTCTCGCCGGCGTCAACTTCTCGAACCCCACACCCATTCAGCGCAAG